TGGAAATCAAGAAAGTCAGTCAATTACCACTCTATCTGGCCAGTGCTACTCGATAGGTGTCAGTTAGGACTATCATGACTACTATTTTTGTTTTAAGCATTAAACTGCAGTTCTAAATATCCTCCACTTCAGGACTCCTTTATATCTTGAAATAACTGATGTTCCAACAAAAAATTTTGATGTGGGTTATAACTGTTGACATTTACCAATTAGAAGCCACAAGTGAGACCTTTTTAAACACATATGAATTCATTTAAAGGCAACAGTTAGCTCATTTTCATGTTAATATAAATAACATTTTTATGAAAAACTACAACATTTTACCTACATAAAATGCAATAAATGAGAAATATGGCTTAGCTGTCCACTTCTGCATGTCTCTGACGCCCATTTTCAAAGCAGACAGCTGGACACATCCTTCATGCTGTGTTGTTGCCATAGATGTGCACTGAAGGAAATGAACCCACACAGGTACACTGCTGGGAAAGAAAGGACCTTCCAGACCCTAAGATGGTCTCATAGAGCCACAGAGCTCCTCAAACTGTACTTGGAGAGCACATTCACAGTTTATATCTAATTTTACCCTTTAGTTTCTTATTAATGAGCTGTCTGCTGTAGATTTTCACAAATGCTATGAATTAACAAGTGCCCAGGCTGAGCAGGGAGTTAGCATAACAGCTGGATGTTGAGGGGACTCTACCCCCAGGCCTTTCCATGGTCAGATCTTCCCAGAGATGGGCAAACCACGTCCCTCACTGCTGTCCTGAGCTGCCTGCCCCAGGCTTGGTGCTGCAGGGACCTTGAGAAATGATTCCAGCCCCCTGTGAGCATCTGAGAAGGGGATGCCACCAGCTGTGCAGATGGCTCCATGCCCACTCCTTCCATGCAACAGCATCACAGAAAAGAAACATCTCTGTGGGGCTGGCAAAGGTGTAATCTTTGATTACAATCCCTACAGGAATCATATGCACAAGGAGATGCAAACAGCACACTGTGATGAAGAACAAAGACACCCACAGGAATGTGAAGTGTGGCCATTACTGCACATCACAGCCGAGGTGTGCATGGGGAGAATCCATCTCTCAACAGAGACCAAGGACAAAGCCGTCTAATATTGAATATCCATGTGTACACATCTACATATCAAGGGCCTAAGGCCGACCAGGGCCAGGTGTATTCTGGAGAAATTGTGCAGAACGCCTGTCTTAGAACAGCAATACACATCTAGAACCTGGTCAACATGCACAACATGTGAGTGCATGATCCTAGCTCATCCAGCATTACAGGCAAGTCTTTGGATTGTCCTGTGCTGTGAAGCCCAGGCCCCTCCTGGCCCCTCCCAGCTTCCTTTCCCCACCAGCCTCTATGACACCTGCCCTGGTAGATACCCCTAGAATGAGTACTGGGTACATTATTTTGGTTTATTTTTAATCTCAAATGTCCTGGGTTTTGTGAGCAGGCTTAAGAGGTCAAAAGGATGGTTTTAAATGCTTTTGATTTTTAGAATCTTCTCTGCAAATATGGAAAGCCACTGCCGGGAGTCATTCACTACAGGAAGCACAGAGGAAAACACTTATGACACTCATATGGTTCTGTGTCCCACCAAGAAGACAGAAGAAGAGGAGCAGGGTGAAAAGGGGGGCCCTGAGGGGTATGCAGCCTGAGGGACCAAAGCTGCCCCTCCTTCCCAGGCACAGAGAGACAGGACTGAGAGAGAGAGTGCAGGTAGGACAATCTCCGGCTTTGCTTCCCAGGTGTGGCCTGAAGAGGTATGGTCTGCTTACAAAGTCTAGACTAGCCATGACCCTGCATGAGTGGGAAGTCACAGGGAAGGATCCAAGACAGCAGGGCCACCACACAGGCAGCATATTCTAACCCTGCCCAGCCCCAGAAGGTCACAGAGCACTGATGGCTAGGGACCACAAGAGGACTTTAATTCCATACATAAATGATGAAGTTAAAGACCACCATCTTGTAGGTCTAGGAGGAAGCAGAGTCATAGGCAGGATAATTGCTACTGATTCTAGAGCCCCATGATGTCTGATCCCTGCTGGGCCAGCCCTAAAACAGTAGAGTCCAGAGAGGCCAGAGGACAACACGAGGACCCCACACTATACCTTGATTTTGAGTGGGTAGGTAAATCCCAGGACCTGGGCTCCCCTAATTAAGGAGGTGACACATGCATGCCTGAATTAATCTAGTTTTTGCCTTGAAGTGACTGCATTCAAAACCCACACTGACCAAGTCCTATGAACTTTGTACAATTGAGTGTTTGACTGTGAGTGGAAAAACAGAACAGGAAAAGTTAGAAAACTGTATTTCTATGTAGCAATATGTGACAACTGTACATGTGTAGCAACTGGATACTTTTAACCTGCTGGGCTGACAGGATTAAAAAGAAATGAACTGCAATATACTCAGTGGCAATCACCAGAAGTTAAGAAGAATCGTTATTTCAACTGCAGTGTTCACAATTCATTCTGCCACAATTGCTTTTATTCAACCCCATGATGAGCCAGCCATTCACTAGACTAAAGCATGGAATACATAAGAGTCAATGAAAGGAGAGAAGGTCTTTGTTTTTTCGCAGCTTCTCACTACAGGGACTGGAATATACAGGGCAGAGGAATTGAAACCTAAGAATTCTGCAGACATCTGTCCATCAACAGGTACCAGGCAAACACAGTCCCCGTGAGGTTTCCCCAGACTCAGGAAGGAGGAGTTAGCCTGCCCTGTCATCAGGAAGACTCTCAAGAGAAAATTAAATTAAAAACAGTGATGCTTAAAAAAATCCAAACCAAAATGAAATAAACCTGTTACTATAACATAGACTTAGGGGCCACTTTTGCTAAAAGCACTGACTCTTCACTTGGTCCTCCGATAAAAGGTTATCATCTCTGCCTTCATTGTGTATCTGTCTCTTTCCACCTTAAACGTTGCATCAGATTTCTGCTCAACTTTGCACGTAGACTTGTTAATCATTTAAGGAGTGTCTGTCTAAAAACTGGTAACACAAGGTTGATTAGCCCTAAATTTACCTAACCTTTCTTATCCCCCTTCAAGGTTGAAGGCACTAAGAGTAACTAAGGCATTTTTAAGATTTGCAGGGAAGTCATAATCAACAAATTGTCACCTGAGAGCTTTTACAACTTCCTATTCCAGATCCCTGGGAGCTTCCTAAAGGTCTCCAGTTATTTCCCTAAAACTTGCAGGCACATCATCCCTCGGTGGGTCTGCCCTTCTATAGGAGCAATCACCTCACGATGGAAACCAAGGCTGCCCCCTAAGCAGTCATCTCATGATGAGAACCAGATTGCTCCCTCAAGCACATAACCACTTCTTCTGGACCACACAGAACCAGAGTTAAGATCATGATCCACTGCATCAGTTTGAACAAGATGACTTAATTACACATACTTCTTGTGCCTCCATTTTGTTCCTTTTTCTATTTTAAACCTAAGTTCATGTCAGTGCCCCAAAGACAAGGCTGAGGATGCTGATCCCCTTATCTTCCCAGGGTACCTATACCCAATAAATTTCTTTCCTACTTCACCATTACTGCTTTCACCAGAAGTATGGGGCAAGTGGCTGGACCTGGTTTGCTGGGATTCCCTGAAATCAGTCCCCGCCTCAGGCCTAGGATTCTGGCAACTTTACTACCTTGGCAACATGACCACACACAGAAGAATTATTCCAAGGGATGCAAAAACACATTATGCTGTATATCTGGTGGATAGAACCACCAAGAAATGTTAAAATGCACCCAGTGGGCTTATTCTTGATTATAATAATGTTGGCAGTTATTTTGAACCTACTAAAATATGGAAAGATGAAATAAATAATATTATTGTCTTCATTCATTTTGTGTTATTACAGAATACCTGAGAATGGATATCTTCCTGATGCTTCTAAGAGAAGCTACATATGATCAGCAGGACCCTGGCAGATAGCACCACTAGTAGAGGAAAGCTAAAGCCAGGAGGCTTCACACATGTCCCCAAAAGTGAACTCTGAGGAACCTCAGCTGACTCTTCAGAGTAGATAGGAAGAAGGTCAGTTGTGACCAACTGGTCTTAAATGCCTGGCAGGAGAGTATAGCCTAAAAGCACAGTCTTACATGGACATTTAAAAGGAAAAACAATG